AGGAGATCACGGGGAAGGGCGACGGGGTCGCGGTGGAGAGCCGCAGGTGCGCTTCCATTGAGCGGTTCTGGTTCGAGGCGCAGACGGTGCAGAAGCGGAGTTTGTAGCTGTCTGTCTCGCTGGAGGAGGAGGTGGTGGTGGTGGTGCTGGTGCTGGGGGTTTCGGGCGCGGCGGCATTGTCGGTTGTGGTGGTTGTGTTGTTGGAGGCTGAGCGCGTGGTGACGCGCATTGGTTCTTGGTGGATTGGTTCTTGTTGTTCTTGGGGTTGTGGCTGTGGTTGTGCTTGGTGCTCATGGGGCGGTGGGGGTGGGGGTGGTGCGGAGGTTGTTGTAGTGGTGGTGGACGCAGTGCCTGCACTGGTGCTTGTTGAGGATACTAGTCGCGGGTCGTAGGCCATGATGGGCAGGGTAGGTAGGTAGTGGATAAGAAGGTAGGTAGTGAATAAGAGTAGGAAGATAAAGGTAGGTAGGAAGATGCAGTGTATCTTATGAGGCTAGCCTATCTGGTGAAGTGGGTCCACGTGGGTTTTTTCTGTTTTTACGCGTTGAGTTTCTTCAGGAGATCTGCTGTTGTTGTGGTCTGGTCGTTGTTCTCTGTCGGTCCAAATCAAGGAGGTTGAAAGATGTTTTCACTAGGGCCCTGTAATGTCTACTCACAGTCAGAATAATCCATCCGACAAGTTGTGATAATGACAAGTAGAAAAGTAACAAGCAGAATCAGGTAAAAAATGCGTATAAAAGATTTGTCCGCATAATTGGCTCGGACAGCTCCAATAAAGATAAACTCATCATGCTGCTGCAGAAAGAGGTGCAATGGGAGGGAGAAAAACACAACTGCGATATGTTGAATACATACCTCAAGGTGGCCTCTCATTATTTGTGGCTCATTTACGCAGAAAATCTACAGTTGCAGCTGCTGAAAAATAGTCCCGGGCCGCAGCCCTGAAGAATTGCGAATGGAAGGAAGTTTGCGTCCAGCGGGAAGCTTGCGACGAGGCCGCTTTTGTGCTCATCCAAGCTGACTCAGCACGCCCGGTGCTGCTAGCCCGCTTTGGGACAGCTTCCCCGTCGCGGCGGTTGTTGATCATTTCATTCAGATACTCATTGTCTCCGTACTCGTACTACAATAACTACAAGCAATGATGCTATACTATCTGTCGCCTTCATGCTCGTGAAACTCCCATGCAGTCGGCTTTTTGCCTCTGTTAAAACAGGTGTATAGAATATCGCCCACAGCAAGGGATGCAAAAAGACCCAGTCAGAAGACGGACGACTGATCCCAGAACCCTTCGCTGGTCATCTGGACCGGTGCTTTTCACGTCATGCTGCACCATCCCGAAGGAGCCTCTGGGGAGATGATCACGGGAAGGTGAGGGGAACGATGAGGCCATGCTGCCTCGGGGTTGACGAGTGTGGCTCAGGTTTGAGATACCCTCACGGCTAAGCAGCGATCGACCCCGGGCCCTCCGGACCAAGGCTATAAAACGGTCGACTATAGACGTCAATGGAACACAAGTCCATGACTCCTCCTGCAATGAGGTCGAAACTTGAAACATCTTTGGGCTGTCATTCCCAGTCACCCCCACCCCGCCAAGCCGGTCGCCCCTCTTGTTTACCAGGTGCAGCAAGCAAGCAGCCAAAGCCAAAGCAGCAGCAGCAGCAGCAGCAGCAACAGCAATCCCGGAAGTGTGCAGAAAATCCCAAGCCTTCGAATGGCCACTAGATCTAGAGAAACGTTCGTTATCCCATTTCCCCTCCAGACCCGGGATATCAACACGACCGCAATAGTAGGACCTCGTTCATCTGGAGGCGAAAAAAGACCACCAAAGAGTATAAATTGTAGCCTTGAGACAAGGCAAGGCAGACGATCAACGTCATCCGATACACATACACCGAAAGATCGCCCCTCTTCCCTCGTGAAGACGGATTTCATATAAATACAGTAGACTCTTCACCGGTGTCTCTCTGGTTCACCAGAATTTTTCAGACGAACGTCTTGAGACCGCCTCTTCTGACCTGATCGTGGCTTGTGGCGCAGAGCACCCAGCACCCTAGCGCTGTCACCATTGATTTGATTGAAATTAATTTCACCTTTTTGCTCGAACTAGATACGAAAAGGGACGAGACATACGAAAACGAGAAGGGAAGAAAAAGGGTCTAACGGAACACAATCAGTGGCAGTTCTTCACTGCCTGAGCCTGCAGCAGGAGAATCTGCTGTTCTGAATATTTATTATTTTTTTCTCCCCTTTCCCCTTCTATCTCTATTCTTTCACTCTTGGCTTGTCATCCTCAATTATAGCTTCGCTGTTGGACAAGGAAGAGAGGTCAACTTGCAAATTCACAGCCTTCTCCAAAATCCACGGATAGTCATGACCATAACCATTCCCCATATCCGACGTCGTTCGTCGGTGGCTAGTCCTACCAGTGAGTATCAGTAGTCGTGGTTGAATGTGATTGTTGCTGCCGTGGCTTTGACCCGGAGGTTGAGATCCCCTCCTTCTCTCTACCTCCTCCCCACGTCATATTTTCTCCTCCTCCCCTCCTACTCTCACACTCTTTCCCTTCTCCTCCTTTACTCTCTCCTGCTTTCCTCTCAGCCCCAACACCACTTCTTCCCCTATTGAACTGCTTCTACGCACCCTCCAATATGTCGGCTGACTGGGGCTCTTTCTTCCATTCAGGTAGCAGGTCTTCCCATGAGGAGCCGAAGCCTGAAAATGTGAGCGGGGACGATGAGATTGTCGAGCCCGATCAGGGCAACGGTACGTATGGATCAGCCCCTCTCCCCACCTCTGAAAAGAAGTTGTAGGCATGCAAAGGTGGAATCCATAGGCCTAGAATTTGGTTTACATCTATAATCTCTCGCGACAATTATGGCTTTGCTGTTGCTGACCGGCCCTGTTAGTCCTCTCCCACATTATCTCGCAGCTCCGACCGGGAGCAGATCTTAGTCGGGTCGTCCTGCCTACCTTCATCCTCGAACCCCGATCCATGCTGGAGCGCATTACAAAGTAGGTGGAGACAATATCTGTGACGAAATTGCGGTCGCTGACTCCATTGATCCTCCGATCAGTTTCATGGCACACCCCGAGACCCTGCTGCCTATGCCCGATATCGATGACCCCCTCGAACGTTTCGTCTCCGTGGTCAAGTTCTACTTGAGCGGATGGCACATCAAACCACCGTATGTCCTCCCACTCTTCGTCCCATTTGTTTCCAACGCTTCCGGACCCCGTTGACCCCCTTCCGCAGCGGTGTGAAGAAGCCGCTGAACCCGATCCTGGGCGAGACCTACACCTGCTATTGGGACTACCCCGACGGAACCCGCGGATACTATATCTCTGAACAGACCTCGCACCACCCGCCCAAGTCGAGCTACTTCTTCATGGCCCCCGAACACAACATCCGCATTGACGGCACCCTGAAGCCGCGCAGCAAGTTCCTCGGTAACTCGGCCGCCAGCATGATGGAGGGTATTGCGATCCTGCGCTTCTTGAACCGCGGCCAAGATAAGGAGAAGGGCGAACGATAGTAGGTGGTCCTCGAAAGCTCGGGAGTGGCTGGAGCTTTTCTGACATGTTCCCAGCATCCTGACGCAACCCAACATGTACGCTCGCGGTATCCTGTTCGGAAAAATGAAGTATGAGCTTGGTGACCACAGCTACGTGCGCTGCCCTGAGAACAACCTTGTCGCCGACATCGAGTTCAAGACCAAGGGCTACTTCTCAGGCAACTACAACGCTATTGGTGGAACGATCAAGAACGAGAAGACTGGTGAGGTCTACTACGAGCTGACCGGACTCTGGAACGGTGAAATGTACATCAAGGACGTGCATGTAAGTTGAGACCAGCCCCTTTCCCACCTTGAGCTGTCATTGTAACCGAAACAGACCCATAAGAAGGAGCTTCTCTTTGATGCAACCCACGCCAAGCACACTCCCCCCTTGACCCGGCCTCTTGAGCAGCAAGGCGAGCGCGAGTCCCAGCGGTTATGGCACAGCACTGTCAAGGCCATTATCGCCCGGAACCACGAGGCGGCCACGGATGAGAAGACCAAGATCGAGGACCGTCAACGGGAGGAGGCGGCCAAGCGGGTCGACGAAGGTGTCGAATGGCACCCCCGACTCTTCCGCCGGGTGCAGGGTGGGCCCAACGGCCCGGACGAGGGCGAGGAAGACTTGGACTGGATCATCAATGCGCATGTGTAAGTTGCCGGGCTTTGCGCACGTCGATCGTGGTTGGAATCGAGACTAATAATGGAGTAGTGACGCGCATAACCCTGAGCTTGCGGCCAAGCAGATTCTCGCTATCGCACCCATCCTGGACGGCCAGACGGACTCTTCCGAATATCAGATCCCCCCGCACAAGTCGCACGAACCCGTCCCCACTGACGATGTGGCTAACGGGGCGGCGCCAGTTCCGGACCAGCCCAAGCCCGAAGTCGTGGAAGCAGTTGAGCGCAAGGATTCGCGCACCAACGATATCGACGCTTACGTGGATGCGAAGGAGAATTGAGCGATCGACTTCGTCGTTAAGTCCCTTAAGAACTTCCCACCCGCAACTCGAGCAAGGGATGGTCGCACAGCGACTGGACATAGGAAGGGAACGGGTAGGGCAAGTCGGGTGTTGTGGACATACCTTCCAAAAAAAAAGACCTGCACAACAGCCTATAATTATGGTTCAACACCGGCTTGCAGGACGAGCTCACTACCGTTTCGGCGTCATACTATACTGGATACCCGATTGATTTCATAGTACGGAACATGCGTTTTCAAAGAAAAAGTTTCAACAAGAGAAGGGGAAAGGGAAAAGGGAACAGAACATAGGCCAGCCACTCTTATGTGGATACATGTCCATGTTTCGTACACATTGGGAGGAAGGCTGATGGGGTGGGGGAGGGGTGAGCAGCGACCATTTTTCCTTATTATTGTTATTTTCTTCAGCCTTCATCATAGACTTCAGCCCACTGAATGATAATATAATATTTCAATTTGCAAAACCGTAACTCATGTAGTATGTGTCTGCCTGAAAGAAAGGGGTATCGTTTGTTTGATTGTTGCTTGTAGATATTGCATATCCTGACCGACAATGCATTCCAACCCGATAGATAAATCGAAGCCTGGAAAGAGTTGTCCCCAATTACCTACCAATACCAAACCAAGGGGTAATTTAAAAATGGACAGAAGAAAACCCCCACCCAGATGCCAGCTAGTGTAAGAATCCCAAACCTGTTCAACCTCCTCTCCCATCTCCTTCACCACCACCACCACCACCACCACCCTCGGCCTTCACCTCGGCCTTCATCTCAGTAAAATTCTCCTCCCTCCGCTCAGCATACCACCGCTCTAAACACGCCCGCCGCTCCGCCTGCGTCATGCCCTCCACCACCAAAGCGAACTCGGTCGCATTCGCGAACCCGAACCGCCGCGCCATACTACAGAACTGGCGCTTCATGACCCCCCGCGGTGGGTGGAATTTATACTTAACGTAAGGCTGCTGTTGACCGGATGGCTGCGAAGACAGTAGGAGCTGCGATTGCGATTGCGGTTGGGACTGGGATTGCGAGTTGCGAGATGCGGCAGCGAAGACCCGCTTGTCGAGGGCGCGGTGGTCGTCGGCGGTGAGCTGGGCGCGGCGGCTGAGGCGTTCCTCGACCTTGGAGGAGCCGATGACTTCGTTGTTGAGGTGGGTGTATTCGACGCCGGCGTTGGCGAGGATGGCTTGGATTGGGTCGTGGCGGGGCGGGGGGTTTTGGGCTGGGTGGGCGGGGCGGGTTGATGACGGGGCGGTCTCGCCGCGGATCATGGCGGCGAGGTTGTTCATGACGGCGTCGGTGGTGGTGTCTTCGTGGGCGGGCTGGGGTGTGTTATTGAGGGGATGGTCCGGGTCATCCTCCTCCTTCGCCATCGCGGTCAGGTCAATGTCCATGACTTGGACGCCGGCGCGGCTTTCGGCGACGTTGGTCTTGTTGACGATCTCGCGGAGGACGATGTTGTCGGTGCGGTAGGCGAAGAGGTTGTCCATCCCGAAGATCTCGCCCTTCTTGTCCTTGTTCTCCTGCACGCCTTTGAAGTAGCGGCGCTCCGAGCTGGCGTTATAGCCGATGTTGGCCTGCTGCTGCTTGTAGATCTGGCGGGCGTAGACGATCTCCTCGATGGTGCCGACGGAGATGAGGCGGAAGACCTCGACGTCGCGCGACTGGCCGATGCGGTAGGCGCGGTCCTGCGCCTGCAGGTCGTGCGAAGGGTTCCAGTTGGGGTCGACGATCACCACCTTGTTGGCCGAGGTGATGTTGAGCCCCACGCCGCCGGAGCGTGTCGAGATCAGGAAGACGAACTGCCGCGGGTCCGAGTTGAACTCGTCCACCACCTTCGTGCGGTCCTCGTAACTCATCGACCCGTCCAGGTAGCTGACGTTGTAGCTGGTGTAGTGGAAGAGCATCTGCAGCATCTTGAGGAGCCGCACGCTGTGGCTGAACACCAGCACCTTGTCGCCGTTGGCGTGCCACCATTTCAGCAGCTGCCGCAGCACCTTCCACTTGCCGCAGAACTCCGGGTTGGCGAAGTTGACGATCGAGTCCCGCGAGCGGTACAGCTTCTCCCACTGCTCCGGCACCGCCAGCTCGAGCATCTCCTTGTCCTTCTCCTGTTTCTCCGCGGGATCGCCACCCTGGGGGATGAGGATGGCGAGGTGGTTGCTGAGCTTTTGGAGCACGGCGATGGCCGGGAACACGTAGCTTTGCCATTTCGCCCCAGAGGGCAGGAGCTGGTGGCAGCACCAGCCAGATTTCCTCCCGGAGCCGCAGTCACAGGGATCGGTCGATGTCTTGATGTATGTGACGATCTCGCTCTCCAGGATGTTCTCGTAGGCCGCGGCCTGCGTCTCGGTAAGCGGGCAGAAGACGACCCGGTCGACTTTCTTGGGCAATTGGTCGGCGATCAGAGTCTTCATGCGCCGGAGGAAGAACTGCGGCAGGAGATTCTCGACAAGCTTCTTGGCCGTCGTACGGGCCTTACGGAGCTCGTACACAGTGGCATCGTGCGACTGCCCGAGCTTGAGAGGCTCAGAGATCGTCTTCTTCCAGACGGTCACCGGGCCCAGTTTGCCCGGATTGCACCAGTTCAGCAGCGTCCAAAGCTCCTCGTATTTGTTCTGGATTGCGGTGCCCGTGAGGCCGATCCGACAGAGCGCGTTGATCATATTCATCGCTTTGGTCGTTTCCGACTTGCGCTCCTTGATGATATGGCACTCGTCCGCAATGACGCAATCCCAGTCCACCATGTTGACGGCATCTTTGTTGTGCAGGTAGGTGCTGTAGGTGGTGATCAGGATCTCAATTCGTCCGGACCTTGCGGCTTGGAGCGCGAGCTCCTTGCTGTCACCGTGGTAGGTATCGACCGACCACCAGCCCCAGCGGGCCAGCTCCGAGATCCAATTCTTGATCAAGGTCCCCGGACAGACGATCAGCGTCCGCGGATACCAGCAGTCTTGTCCACTGCGGCGCATCTTTCTCATGCGCTTCGCATCTCTTTCATCCCCCGTCTTCCCGTAGGCAGCCGTAAGGAAGGCGATCACCTGCACGGTCTTCCCTAAGCCCATATCGTCCCCGAGGATTCCGCCCTTCTGGTATACGAACAACTCATGTAGGAAGGCCGCGCCGTCTACTTGATATTGACGCAGCCACTGCGCGATTGGGGCGGGGATCAGTCCCAGGGAGTAAGGCAGCGTGATATCCTTGTAGTGATTACACGGCCTCAGATGCTCAAAGGCCGGCTTCTCCTGCAGGAATTCAAGCCGCTCGTCGTCTGAGAATTCGACCTGGTCGTAGCTGGGAGGCAACTTCAACCCCGACGCCTTGAGATGTTCCATCCGGCGGTCGAACTGCACTCGACGCCTCTGCAAGTAGTCGGGGAGGGTGTATTCCATCAACTCATCCTCGGAGGAATACTCTGCGCCATACTCTCTCAGCGGCCGCCGCGGCTTGGCCTTTGCATTCGATTTCGGAAGTCGGCCAACGAAGGAGCTGGTGGTGGGAGGTCCGAGTTTCAGAGGCTTGTTGACGTTGCTTTTCCGCGCGCTCGTGGACTGCCGCTTGCGTTTGAGGGACTTCCGGTTCTTGAACTCCTCGTAGGCGGCCGCGCCCTCGTTGAACGAGGATGATGCATTGTCGCTGTCACTGTCGCCGGCGAGGTCCACGACGGCGACGGGGGTTTTAGTTTCAGGAGGCGAGGACCGCTGCTTGATCGGTGTGCGGGTGCTCGTCGAGGGACGAGGTGTTCTGTCGCCTGCGATCGAGGTTTGACCTGCATTCACAAGGTGAGAGAGACGCCAGGTTAATTATCCCGAACAAAATGCGAGACATACGAGCGAGAGCAAGGCGGGCAGAGGGACGTGGGGTGTCAAGGTCATCGTCATCTGTGCCGATTGTAGTGGCATCCGAGTCCCCTGGCTCCCATCCTGAGCCCATGTTGAGGCCGACTGCCAGATAAATGAGTTATTACCGACATGAAAATGCAGGTTGAAAGAAGGGCGGCCTGGTAGTTGGAGAAGCCGCAGTGCGGAGACGCGAGACGGCGGAGGATGGCAGTCACTGGACGGTCATTGGGTTGGCCGGCTTCCCGATTGGGCAACGAGCTGATCACACTCGAATAATTCGGCGCCGAAAAGTCAACCTCTGCAACCTCAATCCCATCGCCAATTTCACCCTTCACTGCCCTACGCGCGCCCTCAGATATCACTCTCGAGACCTACTCTTGGAAGGAACTTCATCCTTGCACGGTTATTACGCCGATTTCCCAATCTCAACTGTGCCCCTCCGTCGCAGCCACAAAAGTCGAATTACACGTTGGTGCGGGGAGCAAAATCGGACTTTCGCAAGTCGCTCTTCCCATCTCTCTCTCCCCGCCGTCGCAACCCACACAGAAATAGACGACGCCATTGAGCATACACACACACACACACACAACCAAAATGCCTCTCGACACGTCTACCACATACCCGCTCACCAAATTACGCCTGGATGGCCGACGCTGGAACGAGCTGCGGCTCCTTCAGGCCCAGATTTCCACCAACCCCGCCAGTTCGGGCTCGTCATACCTCGCCATGGGCAACACGGCGATCATCTGCTCGGTCCACGGGCCAGCCGAGGGCCGTCGTGGGGATGCCTCCGGCGGCTCAGCGGGCTCCTCCGGGGCGGTCGTCGAGGTGGATGTGAACGTCGCCGGGTTCGCGGGGGTGGATCGGAAACGCAGGGCGGGAGGAAGTGACAAGTAAGGAGTCCCTACGGAGGATATATTTATACAACATATCAGCGTTGCTAACTCGTTTTCTTCTATCTGTGTATAGACAATCCTCGCGCATCGGGACCATCCTACGCTCCGCCTTCCAGTCGCACCTGCACACCTACCTCTACCCGCACAGCACGATCAGCATCCACGTCTCGGTGCTGTCGGCGGACGGCTCCCTGCTGGCGGCGGCCGTCAACGCCTGCACGCTGGCCCTGGTGGACGCGGGGATCCCCATGCCGGGGCTTCTGTGCGCCTGCACGGCCGGCATGAGCGGCAGCGCGTCCACGCCCCGCGACCCCAACAACGACTTCCTGGACCCCCTGCTGGACCTGTCCCTGCCGGAGGAGCAGGAGCTGCCGTTCCTGACGGTGGGGACGACGACGACGGTGCCGGTCGGGGAGGCGGCGATGATCCACGATGACGAGGACGAGATGAAGGTGTCGATGTTGACGATGGACTCCAAGGTGCACTGCTCGTATGTGGAGACCATGCTGGCGGTGGGCATCGACGGGTGCAAGCAGATCCGGGAGATTCTGGAGGGGGTGATCAAGAAGTCGGCTCGCCGGTGATTTTGTGTTTGTTTTGTTTTGTATTTGGTTGTGTTGCGATGAAAAAGCATGGCAGGCGAAATATTCGTGTATATACCCCGTGAAATGAATGCCATGGGCGGTGTTAGGTGTGTTTCTTGGAGACTCCAGTACGCGTTCTTTCTGCATTGCAAATTCTTTCATTTGATGTTGTGGACGGTCGTGGTCTGAGAGGGCCCGGGGGTGGGGAGTGCATAAATCTGCTCAATTCTGCGCGCGGTGCATCTTCCCCATTGGCCGGGCCAGGGGGGGTAGCGAGTGGGCATCGTGTTGCCAAAGTCTTGGAATCTGCGCAGGATGATCGAGTTTCTATTGCTATGGTTGATGGATCAGACAATGGGTTGGGCTCGCGGTGAGCTGCGTGGGTGGTTTGGGTCAAACTGGCTATATCAACCTTTGAAACGCCGCTGTCTCCAGGACATACGATCTGATCATCCTCTCCGTCTTGGTACCCAGACAATCCATCGTCAATATGGATATGCCCACATCCACATCTACAACTATGGACATGATAATGACCATGACCATGACCACGTCGCCGACCACCACCGCCGCCATGGGCAGTAGCACCGCATCCTCCAGCATGGACTTGGACATGGACATGGGCTCCTCCAGCTGCCAGATCTCCGTAAGGACCCCCAAATCCCCTTTCTCCTCTGCCGATATCGAACACCATCAATACTAAGAATAAGCTACCCAGATGCTCTGGAACTGGACCACCATCGACGCATGTACGCCTTCCCCAAGCCCAATCCAACCCAACCCTAACCCATCCCTCCCCCCCCAAAACACTAAGAACCAAAAACAGGCTTCCTCTCCAAAACCTGGCACATAACCACCAAAAGCATGTTCGCCGGCACCTGCCTCGGCACCATCTGCCTAGTGGTGTGCCTGGAGTTCCTGCGTCGCGTCGCGCGAGAGTACGATGCTTTCCTCGTCCGGCGGGCCCGTCTGCGGTATCAGTTTCTGGTGAATCTTGATTCCCCCGAGGGCGAGATGCACACAGCGCCGCCGTCGGCTTCGGCTTCGACTTCTCGGTGTAAGGATGCTGCTGCTGCTACCACAGTAAGAACAGCAGCAGCAGCGGCAGCAGCTACTATTCCAGCGGGCGCAGCACCACCACCACCCTACCGCCCAACCCTACCCGAGCAACTCGTCCGAGCAACCCTGCACATGCTGCAGTTCGCCGTGGCGTACTTCGTCATGTTGCTGGCGATGTACTTCAACGGGTACATCATCATCTGTATCATCGTGGGGGCGTTTTTGGGGGCGTTGGTGTTTTCGTGGGAGGTGATGGGGTCTGGGGATGGGGTGGGGTATGCTTTTTCTCTTTCTGCTTCCTTCGGAGTATCATTCTCTCGTTCTTTGCTTGTGGTGTTCCGTGTCGGGGTTCTTTGATTGGAAGGGGGAAGCGGGGGAAAGGGGAAGGGGGGCTTTGGCTGACTTGATATTTTGTCCCAGGAACGATGCTACGGCCGTGACGAAGTGCTGTGGTTAGAAGATACCGGGCATCAGTTGTTGCGGGGTGGGTCTCGGTATACTGGAGATGATCGGGGTTGAGACGGTCTGCGATGCAAATACATTAGCTTACCCGCATTCAACACTACGAGGTTAAGAGAGATGAGGATGGGTTTTCCATCCTGGACCATGGAGAGGGAGGTACAGTTCAGGAACGGAGGAGGAGCTGGATTCAGGATTCAGTATTGCAGGGTCCGGAAATAGCCTGCCACAACTACTACCACTACTACTACTACTACTACAGCCCCAGCATAGATCTCCACTACCGTCAATCCATGTACACCGTAGAGTAGAGTAGAGTAGAGTAGAGTAGTAGGATATCAAAGACAACAGAATAACCCGTTTGTCTAGTACACTACACCACTGCACTACAATCAGAGCCCAAACCCGTCAAAGATAGCATAGAATCCCACCAAGGCAGGTAACTAAGTTAAGGTACTTTGTGCAAGCAATTGTGCTCAAACCAACGATACACAACCCAATCCTACAACCTCCATTCATCCTCTGCCCCCTCAAAAAAAACCCCCCTAAATAGAATCCGATACAATCTAAAAGCCATTCAGAACCAACTAACCAACAAACTAAACCAAACCGTAGTACACTCACGACTTCTACCTCCAGACATCGCACCCTACAGATAGATCTACTTCCAACACCTCTACTTACCAGTCAACGACTGAAAAGCACTAGAGCTACCGCTTAACACCACATCAACTGAAATGCTATAGTACAGGACATACTAATCACTAATCTTCTGGAAAGCGAGTTATGCGCACCACAACGCAAAAAAAAAAAAAAAAAAAAAAAAAAAAGCAGCCGGCCTTGCAGACACACATGCAGATACACCTGCAGTTGCAATTGCAGTTGCAGGGTCACTCAAAATGTCATGTTCACGCTGTGTCCAGTTGTCGGAACCAGACGGCAATGGCGCCTCCGTCCGGGTACGTACTCAGTAAGTCAAAAAATTACCCCGCTATCCCAAGCGGGGTCAACTCGGATCTTACTCTAAGTTGAAAGTTTGCCACTCGACCGAAATGCCCAGGTCGGTTCGCCCTTCTCTCTCAACCCGCGGTACTGACTTCATCATGGCGTAACGCAAGAATTCGATTTCTCCTGCTCAGTGACTGCAATGACGATTCGCATTGGGACTGCATTCTAGTATGTTTTATGCGCGCAGCAAATAGTCGAGTCGTGGTCTTATAACTACGAGCATTGACAACCAAAGGGAACATATGCAGAGTTCAATATGGACACTCTAGATTACAGCGTACCAGATAGGAAAAGTGGGAAGCAAATAGATGAGAGAGAAAAAGAAAGAAAGAAAGAGTCCTATTGGTCCACCTTACTCATTCTTCTTTTTCCCCCTCCGTATCACATATTTTTGGCTCGTTAAATGGCTAAAAACTGCTTACAACTCACCACTGTTGATGATCGTGGGCTTGACGGCGGAGCGGACAGCACCAGAGCCGCTGCCGAGGGCCTCGAGCTCCTTGACGACCTGCATGGACGCCTCGTCAGCAACCTCGCCGAAGACGACGTGCTTGCCATCGAGCCAAGAGGTGACAACGGTGGTGATGAAGAACTGGGAGCCGTTGCTGTTGATTTGGAAGTTAGCGGGAGCTGCTCCCTCTGTTTTAACAAAAGAACTTACGTGTGGGGACCAGCGTTGGCCATGGAGAGGAGACCGGGGCGGTTGTGCTTGTAGATGAAGTTCTCATCGGCAAACTTCTCGCCGTAGATGGAGCGACCACCAGTACCCTGGATGATGAATGAGTTAGTCGGGATGCTTGTTGCTCCTCAACCAGGGCCAATTGAAGAACCAGTGAGAGACACTTACGTTGTGGCGGGTGAAGTCACCACCCTGGAGCATGAACTGGGGGATGATACGGTGGAAGGTAGAGCCCTTGTAGCCCTCACCCTTGGGACGCGTGCAGAGCTCACGGAAGTTGCGAGCAGTCTTGGGGACGTCCTTCTCGTAGAGGTTGAAGTTGATGCGGCCAACCTTGGCTGGAGAGTCGGAGGAAAAAGATCATGTCAGTCAGAGATTCCCTTGCCATTGGAAGACTCTATTCAAAGAAAGAGGGGAGAGATGAAGCATGTCCTAGCCTCCTCTCACCCCGTCACCGAATCCCAAAGAGGGGTAAGAAAAGGCTGCTCCTCTGCCTCTCCCTCTCTCTCTTCAGGCAACAGCAGCAGTAGCAGGAGCTGGAGAGGCAAAAATCGAAAAAAAAAGACGAGAATCAAAATCAAGACTTACGGGCGCTGGAGCCCACAGGGGCGTACTCGACTTCGAAGAAGGCCTTGGTGTTTCCAGACATGGCTGCGGATGTTTGATGGAAAGAACGAAGAGAGAGGAAAGAAGGGGAGTTGCAAACGGGGATGGAGAAGAGGGGACGAGAAGCGAAGGACGAGCAAGGTGGGGTTATTGTTGACCTCAGGCTTCGGGAGAACATTGTTGCTGGAGGGGCAGTCCGCACTATACCGCATCAGGATCAGCTCGATGCACACTGGAAGGCTTCGTCCACCCACAGCCACCAGCTGTGCAGTCTTCCCGCTTGGTCATTCGTGGAGCCTCAGGCTGCCAACCCAGGCTAACAGGGCGAGCTGGTCAGCAGCCCCCAACCGCCGCTGTCGGACCTCTTCCATCCACTTCCATGGAGAGACGCGCGCGCCTCATCATCGAGTCTCATCCGCTGAGCAGCACTCACGACCAATTGGGATCGGGCAGAACAGGGGATGGAGGTGCACTTACAGAAATTCAAGCTTACAAGATGATTAAAGATGGTGCAATGGCTGCTGGTGTGGAGAGGAAAGGGAAATCAAGCTCAAGGGGAAGATATCGGACCGGCGAAGAAAATATTCCAGCCAGCTCCCCAAAAGAGTATGGCCTCGGATTAAGTAATACCACCTCAGCTCAGCTCAGCTTAGGCCGGCCGGAGCTCCCCCAACCTGGTTCCAGCCACCCAGCATTCTCGCCCCAGAATCCCTCGGGAGACACAGCAGCCACGTGATCAGCCCCCTCGACTACAGTTAAACCATAGCAGTACTGACTTGTGATACCATCGTTATTGACAAGATATCTGCAATATTCTGGACAAGGCTATTCAAATCTAGAAACACATAATCCAAACAGAAGATTTGAAAGACTGACCGCTGCATCAACAACTGATCAGCCGTTCCTGTGCATATCAAATCACAGGTAGACCACGAAGGGCCATCGAAGATGAAGACAAAGGTCACATCGCTAATAGAGGAAAGTGTACATGGAACGATGATAAGAAGAACAGCGAAAAAAGAGGTGGGGTTCGCGGGGCGAGAAGTCTTGTACCCAACACCGAGAACGAAAGTAAAAGAAGTCATAAAAGCTCCTCCAGGTATCAACGTCTCATTCCGCATGGTTACTCATTGTCATGCACAGTATATGCAGAAAGATACCGCCATGATTAGCAGTTAAAGTATCATCATCGCTTGCGTGATGGCAAACAGACGATCAGGAAAAGTCGGGGAAATATGTAGGAGAAGTGAAGAAATAAGGTACAACATGTCTCGCCATAGACATGAATTTGAAGTGGCGGGTAGAAGATATCGAGCATTGAACAACAACAATATTCAAAGTCATGCCGAGCTCATCGGATCGGCCGTACTACCGAAAGTCATCTTCCTCATCGTCTAGTTCATGAGGGTCTAGCTGATGAACAAGCTCTTTGGTCTCCCGAGCGATCTCAAAGGCAATGGGCGGAAGTTTGTTGGTGATGGCGCGGAGCTCGGCGAAATCAGAGACCCCTTCGCCCTCGGCGGCGGTGCCTGTCAGCCGGTCCCGGTGCTGTTCCAAGGTCTGGATGATGGAGCCGGCACGTTGACGCAGAGTGGGACTGACTTCAGGACCACTGATGTAGTGCTGCGTGGAGGAGTTTACCTGGGACACCACGGAAGAAATGGCAGAGATATGGGTGCTGATGGTGTTGAGGCCTTGTTCAGAGCGAATGCTAGCAACAAGAGCCTGGATCGACTGAACGAGTCCGTCCGTTTGATCCTCGAGGTAGTACTATATTCCAAGTTAGAATCCGCCTACAGGGGCGCCAAGAGTGGATGCACCCACCTTGAGTTCATGGAGCTCGTGGTCCACAGACTTCACGGGATACATTGTATGCATTCCTGCATTCATACCGGGCGAGGCAACTTCGTGCTCAGCAGGAGCGCTCATGGCACTGTAAACGGAATCGTTACGGCTGAGCCGACCCTGGCTGGGCGCCACACTGAAATAGTCGGGGGACTTCATCTGGGCGACTTGCGCTTCGTCGTTCTCGTCATCGTTCAATTCGTCTGCCGGAGTAGGCCGAATTTTCACGATGCGGATCAGCCCAATAACTGCAGATGACAAATGCGAAGCTGCAGCATCCAGGAGAGAAAGCGGGGAGAGTCCACCGGAGCTGGCGAAATTCTTGGTCGCAGTAATCATGTTGTTTGCAGTGGCAGATACTTTGCGGGTGGCCTTGGCACTCAGCGCGGAGAGCTCCTCGTTGCTCTCTTTGCGCAACTCTACATCGTGAAGGACGTGGCGCACGGCAACAACGACGGCTTTGATCTGCTGCATGACCAACTGAGGGTCATCCTCCCGCGCTATGCGCAGCAGTTCGTCGATGGAGATCTGGAATTTGGTCACATGCACATCCATGACGAGGCCCCTCTCCTGGATAAATTCGTTGTCCTTCACGACGCTCGCGGCATCTGCGCGCAATTCCGACATGCCGATGGATGAGGTGCGCTGTCGTAGTTGAGTCTTCGCTTTGGCGTACCGTGCCTTCCATTGTTTTACCTCCTCTTCCAGTCGATGGACCTCCGTCGTAAGCCGCTCTTCCTGCTCCCACTTGGTATGGCTCTGTTCCGATAAGGCCCTCATCTCCACGAGGAACCCTGCTGCCTCCCGCCTGACTTCTTCGGTCACCCTTTGTTGCTCTTGCAGCTCCGTCTGCAAGCTTT